AAGGATTTATACTGATTTTACCATTGACCAGCCTTTTATGTATCTATCTTCAACTGAATAAAATTTACCATTGCCCTTGTTTCTTAAAACCAAAAGCATATAGTATAAACAGCTGTAAAAATGCTCACTAGAAATAATATAATTGAACCTAGCATAACTGGAAAGTGTACTCCTAGACACTCTTTAAATACTTAGACTAAGGGTTTTTTAAAGGACACAGTATCATGAAATGCTTGATTTTCTCTGCTTTTAATTCTAAAATGTTACAAAATAACTTCATTGTTGAAGCATGTATGGCTTACAAATATGCATCAATGATTTGTTTGAAATGTGTTTATGTAGGTCATAATATTCTCTGACCTCTTCAAAATGAAATATTTTATCACTCAGATGTCATTTTTTTTCCAAGCCAGTCTGGCTTGATATATAGGGTTTCTATAAGTAGTACATTTAGGGTGGCCTCTCCTGGGATGGGCCTGAAGAAGAGCTCTTCAATAGCACCTGCATCAATGTCTCGAAGGGACATGATTAGCTGAAGAATCGAAGAAAACCTGCCGAGGCTTCCGTGGAACATTGTTGAGATAAACTCCATCAGGGCTTTCTGAGCTTCCTGCTGCAGTGATTGTACATAAGGGAGCCATCTCAGGACACAACATTCTGTCAAAACAAGAAGTAAAATAACAAATCCTGAGTAAACACTTCTGCTCTGTGCCCTTTGTAATGATGGGTGTCTAGATTTCTAGCTTATAGCACTACTTTCTCTATAGAAAAAAAATAAACACTTTCTAAACATACTTTTTGGAAAAAGAAGATATGTCTAGCTCAATGAAATTGAGCTCATAACTGGAGCTCATAATGGGAATGAGCATTGAGCAGCATTGTAAGCACATTGGAATCTAGCCCAATACTTTAAAATCCATCTTTGAAATGGTAACAGCAGGTAATTTTGGCTCAGTACTGATGAAGTTTTCTAGTGTTGTCTACACACTAAATGATACTGAGATGGTGGTCTGGGCCAGTGGAAATATTCCAGCTCTATCAACATCAGGAGAGGGAGATGATGGTTTGGAGCAGTGAGCAGCCTTGCAGTCTGAAGATGTAGGTTTCCAGTATAGCCCCATCTCCGTTCTATTGTTGCCCTGCATGCTAGACTAAGCTGAGGCACTGTGGTCCAGCATACTATCTAGGTATTTTCATTACAGTCTGAAAAGAGCAAGAGGAGTGCCTCAGCAAGAGGAGTGCCTGAAGAAGGAGAGGTCTTTGCCCTATGGAATCATGATCAAACCTCAATCACATGCCTCCCATAGCATATGACCTGCTGGCTCACTGAGAGCGTTTGTGGGTGACAGAACTCGGCGCTAAGGACTCAGCGCTGTGTTCATTCTTTGCCCCTGGAGAGACTGCCTTGCCATGTAGCTCTCAGCAACCTGTTGCCTCCTGCCCTCACTCTTGCAGTCTGGACAGAGGGTAGAACATGCTCTTTGGCATATTTTACAGTGACTGACTCCATACCTCCCTGGAACAGAGTCTGAATAGCTCACACCAGGCGTTTTTCACACAGGATCATTCATTTCAGTGTAGGAAGTTCAGCACTCTTGCCCTGTACCAGAGCAAAACCAACCTGGTTGGGTTTCCTTCAGTCTGTATCTGGCTAACTGTTGTCAGCCTTCAGCAGCTCTCTTCTTCCTAGACATCACTGCCAGAGGAGAAGAAGCCTCAGCCAAACCTGCAATCAGGCTAGCCAGAAATTAAAAGTTTGGAAAAGTCATCATCTCCTCCAGGATTACCAGCTGCAAGCTGTGAGGATGGTTCCAAATGTTAGATTTTTCCTGAAAAAGAAATTGTCAGGATTCTGTGGATTCAGGATGAAGTTGTAATAGTTTATACCTCTTAAAATATGCTTAATTTCCCCATTTGGTCTTCTGTTCTATGTAACCAAACACTGGTTTTAATTTACATATAATGAGATGCTTCTTGTTCTGAGATCTGTTCTAATAATAATCAGTCAAACACACGTTTCCAGCTGAACTGTAAACCTCTTAAGAATATCTTTCTTTTTGACAGAAGCCCTGTCACAGTCTTGATGAAGTTTTTGAATATATATCTGGATACATAAATATGTATACTTATAGTACTGATATAATAACAGCACTGTTTTTCACTGGTCATATCTCTTCACTGTGCAGTCCCAATTGCTCTTCAGACAACTGTCAAAAACACAAAAATGTTTTCACCATGCCTAGTGCTGTTCCTGTGTGGCAGAACAGTCCAACCTGCTCCTTCCTTTGACTTGTTGCCTGGGTCCAAGTAGAAAAGGTCTTGCAGCTGGACCATTCACCCACAGGTACTGAGACAGCTCCAAAGCCACCCAGCCAAAGCTCCCCTGGGAAGAGTGGGGAATGCCAGTATGTTCTGGAGAGTCTGGATTCTGTTGATGCAAGGTGTCGGTTTCCCCTCAGGGGCTGGTGAACAATTTCTCGTTTTTGGGCTGGCCAAAACAGCAGGTTTTTGCTGGCCCAGATGTGGTCAATCAGTAATGCAGCCAGAGCCTCCTACACAGAGGTGCTGCACAGATTCTGTTGCTATTTCCAGCTCTAGGGTCCTCAGCATAAGAAGGACATGGACCTGCTGGAATGACTCCAGACAAGGGCCCTGAAGATGATCAGAGGGCTGGAGCACCTCTTCTATGAACACAGACTGTGGGAGTTGGGATTGTTCAGCCTGGAGGGGAAAAGGGGTTTGGAAAGACCTTAGAGCAGCCTTCTGCTACCTAAAGGGCTTCACAAGAAAGCTGGACTGGGACTTTTTACAGGGGCCTGTAATGATTGGAGAAGGGGGAATGGCCCTGGACTGAAAGAAGGTAAGTAGGCTTAGGTCAGATGTGTAGGCAAAAATCCTTTACTGTGAGAGTGGTAAGGTGTTGGAACACCTTGCCCAGAGATGTTGTGAATGTCTCAGAAGCTGGCCAGAAGGCCAGGCTGGATGGAACCTGGTCTAGATGTCCCTCCCAATGGTGGGGGGGTTGGACTAGATGATCTTTAGGGTTCCTTCCAATCCAAACATTCTATGATTCTAGTAGGAGAACCTACACTCCATTGTGCTGCCTGCCACCCTCTTGCCAGAGGGATTTTTCTAATGATAGTAAGCACAACATCCATGCCACAAGAGATCAGGGTACAAGCAAACCTTTGCAGAGTTGTCATGCTCCTTATCCAAGTGATGGCTGCTACAGCTGCATGGCTGGATGTCCTGTTGAGCTCCAGCTCAGGACCCAGCTCTGGACCATTCTGGACCTGGCCCTTCCCCATTGTTTTGGTAAGTTTTGGTGGTCCCAACAGAAGTAAAACATTAAGGGTGGTAATGAGGTACTACATAATCCAAAAGAGAGTTAGTTTACCATTGTAACTGCTGATGACTTCCTTTTAGCTTTTTAGAACTGAGGCCCACAAAAATAGTAGCATTTTGCCAAATATCAAGCTAAAAGTCGAAAAGTTTGAAAACATCTTGCAAATATGTAGAAAACATTTTCTGAGTTTGGTGGAAACTGTTGAAAAACTATTAAAAGTAATAGTTGTGAAACAAGAACTGTACAGATTTGTTTGCAGCAAAGGGTGGTTTGGGCTGTGTATAAGACCTGAGTACTTGTTTCAGCCCAGAGTTGGATGATGACTCTGTTTCTTATGGAGGCTTAACTGAATCTAAGCTTAACTGATGCTGTCCAGGCTGTCTTCTGCAGCTTATGGAGAAATACTCCAGAGAATAGGGTCATCCCACCTAACTGCTGAGTGTCATTCCTGAAACAGTGGAATGTGTCTGCAGACAGCATCAAGGGCTGCTGGCTCTCTCATACAGCACCCTGGGGAAGGAGCAGCTTCCTGCTTCTGCCACTTTCTCCTTAAGCAAAACTTGCATTTTACCCACAGAGAAAATAAAAATGCCAGCTAGTTAAACTGTGTAAGCTGCTGCAAATGAGGCCTTTCTCCTCTTATCATCCCCCTGGATATAACCAGTGATTCCTTTTAGCCTGATTTTATTGTGAAAAAAGGTTGCACTGAAACAAGCTCCTCTGGTTTGATGCTGCGGCATAGACACTCAAGGCAACACCAAGCATCTGGATGACATTACACCTCAAGAATCAGAATTTGAATCCCATTGGAAACAAATACAAAGTCACACAGCCTTTGAGCAGCCTATAAACCATCCACCATGAGAAATATAATGGAATAACTGAAGCATTCAAGTATGCTTTTGGTGCAGTCCCAAGTACAGCACACTGCTGACAGTGCAGTCAACACTTTGATTGCTGTGGAAGGAGGTGGGGATCTGAGCCAGAGCAGGCTGGAGTCAATAAGTCTTTCCATTTGCTTTAGTGTACTTAGAGCTCAGCTGTTAATGACTCATGCACTCCATGGTGTTGACCGAGGCAACCTTCCTTCCTAAAGAGCCTGAACTTGGGATCAGAACTGAGAGGATGCAATCAGTAGTCTTAGTTTGCTCTGTGACTGCTGTACCAGGCTTTTAATATAAAGATACTAAATTATATAAATGAAGGATATACATACATGAAAGCTGTGTAACCTCAACACAGCCTCCTTTTTCCTGATGAAAATCAGATGGTTATCTTCTCCAGTGTTCATGTTACTGAGGAAGCCTTTGTTAAATTACTTCTGAAGCTCACATCACGTGCCCATCTCTCCTTTGCTGTGATGTGAGGGTGAGGCTGCTGTATCACCTCTGAACTGGAAGTCAGTTTGAGGTTATACACATAATTCTTTACTACTTAAAATTTGTCTGATAGAGATTGTTTTGGCTTACAGTGGGTGACATCCTGCATGTATCCAAAGAACCAAAATAAACCACATCAGGCAGAAAAAAATGTTAAATCGTGGAATATCGGTTTTTGAGAACATTTAGTTATATTCATAGAAAAGAGTAAAAATAAACATTTGTCTATACATAAATAAAAATGTCAAATCTCTTTCTAGATCATATACACATATTCATTTGTGTCTTTTCTCGAAGGACTTACCAGAATTAAAAAGAATAATTCCTTTAAGATAGGCGTATTCTTTTGCACTTATGTCCAGATCCCAGAATTTCCACAATAAATTCTTCATCTTCTGAACTTCTGCTAAAGATGCTCCTGCTGATGAGCTGCCCAGTTCATTCATAGCTGTTGAAGACTGATTGAGGAGGATTTTTTTCAATAAACTGGTGTCTGGGATCTCTCTCAGGTCAAAATCCACCCCTTCTTGTGCCATGCCCAGGACAAAAAGAGGGGCCCAGTTCCGTTGTATGAGGACAAACTGATCCTCCCAAGGCATGTAATAAAAAGAAGGTAAGTTTCTAATAAAAGTTGAAGTCTTCAACAGCACTTCAGAAGCTCTTCTGCATGTGGCTTCTGGTGTTCTCAGGACAACTCTTCTCCTGTCCAAACAAGGGCAGCCTTTGCTTCTTGTGGTGCAGTGGGGACTGCAATGCTGCTGGTGCCACTTGGTCTCACTTCCATGCTCTTTGTTAAGGATCTGGTACAGGATGCTTTTAGAATGGTGTGTCTCACACTGACATTTCCCAGATTTCTCAGCTGGGATCTTGGTGGCCATGGAGGCAGAGTTCTCTGTGGCAGGAAACAGCATGTCTGCAGCTAAGCATCAGCAGCAGGAGAGGGCATTTCTGCCACACAGGGAGGCACTGTACAGCTATATACACATGGGCAGGTGCTGAAAAGTGATATGACCCTGATCCACAAGGTTACCTTGAACTTTACCTGCACCAGTGTGTTTTGAACGAGGCGTGGCTGCAAGCTGCTGGCGTCCCTGGGCTGCTGTAGCCCCAGGGGAGTGGGTGGCATGGGCCAATCCCAGGGGCAGTCCTGGGGATGGAAATCCTGTGTTTCAGAATTACCTCATGTTTCTGTGAGATTTGAGAGAAACTTTAGAAAAGGTAAGCTGTTGGAGCTCATGACAGTGTTCTCTCTTGCATTTCACAAATGATAATTTCAAACACAGAATGTGAGGGCTTAGAGTCAAAGAATTGATTATGTTGGAAGGGTCTTCCCTTCAGATCATCGAGTCCCACCATTTACACAGCACTGCCAAGTCCACCACTAATCCATGTCCTCAAGTTCCACATTTACATGCTTTTAAGTGCCTTCAGGAATGGTGACTCTACCCTGAGCAGCCTAGGCATCAGGTCATTGATGTAGAACAACACAAGACATCCAGTATATGACTCCTTCAGAATATTTCTTCCAGACAGGCTTGTAATTAAATTTTCCTCATAAAAACTGATGAATAAAAAATGGCAATTCATGCTACCGTACATGTGAACTTTTGTAGCAGCTCAAGAGCTGAATGATTGTATTGTCAGAACTCTTCAGTCAACATCAGGGAACACTAAGCAACAGGAATGAAAGGAACTCAGCCTTAATAAGAAGACATTGATACTTCAAATTTTTGTTACTTCACACTCCACTCTCTTGCTTGCTCTTATACAGGTGAAAAGGTACTAAGTTTTTTTTCACCAAGCAAGATGTTTATGCATTCCTACCATCTGGGATCTTAGCATGTCTTAACAAAACTGAGCATTAAAAACAACAGCTTGAAGGTCTTCATCTGCCAGATCTCCAAGCCTTTGGTGTGTAAAGGCCCCCCCACCACCACCAGATGCATAACTACAAATTTGTGTTTTGCTGCACCAGGTTGGTTTTTTTTTCCATGCTGGGCCAATTTAAAAATTACATTTCTTTACCTCTTCCTGATATATGTTGCAAAATTTTCCCCTTCTGAAGAGAGGAAAATGGAGGAAGAGATGACTGCTTAAAAGTTGATAATATTAGGAGTGTAATGCTGCTGAGGTGCAGCTACTGCCCACTGCTGTGGAGGTCCAAGGCACACACAGCACTGAATACCACGTGGTATTTGCTTGTCCACCTCTCCATTCATTCAACAGCTCCCTGTTGCTGTTCATTGCTGGGATATCAAAGAGCTTTGTAAATTAAATGGCACAACAACAGAGAAGTCCCCAGGATGTCTGCAGAAAGTCCCATCCTTTTTATTCATGATGTAAAATTTAAGCTGGGCTGAGGTTCAATGGAATGAACTCCAGTTACTGGGCCATTGCCATCGGAGGTTCAGTGTGAATTACCTTGATTGGCTAATGGCTGTACTAGAGAAAGAGAGACTGAGCTCACTAAAATCATTTTTGCAAAGTGTTTGCTTGTGAAAAGAAGTTCTGTCTCCTAACTTCTGGTGAGCGTGGTGATGTTTCAGTAATCTAGGCAGCAGAGTTCTGAGCAGCCCAGCTCCTGTGCTCCAAGAGCAACATCTCGTGGTTAACCATTTCACTCTCTTAGTTCATGTCATTATTTCACAGCTCCTATTAACTGTGCTTATGAAAATTCTACTTCAGGTTAAATTGGTTCTTTTCCTACTTTTCTTTTCCTTCTGAGGTCTGCATCAGTCATATGCAGAATCCTGATGTCAGCAACATATGATATTGGATACCATTTCTATTTGTCATCACTTATTTCCTTTGGTTGTGTGTCGATCTAAGAGGCAGGAGCAAATTATATTTCTATCAGAAATTCCTGGTGTATATATATATATATATATATAATTACATAGTAACTTGATGAGTGTTTTCCAAAAATCAGAGTAAAGGTCACTGAATCAGTATGAGTGCCTAGGATGCATTACGCATTATGAGCTTTCCTGAGAAAATGATTACTTAGAATTATGAGTCAACATTGAATTGCAGGTGAAACTGATCCTGGTCATCCTGATTCAAAATTGCCTGAAATGAACTTTCTGCATGAACCAATTTTCTCAAAGGTAGAAGACCAGCAGCCAAATTCAGCTCTATACTCATAAACTAGGCAACATTTAAATTTCATTCTAAATCTTACCTGTAGAATGGTTGCAGCCACATGCACCTGGATATAAAGCATCTAAGTCTTGATGCTAAGGTAGCAATGCTTTGTACTTTCAAATGTTAAGGAAGCATACAATACAAATATGATAAAACCCCATGGATTTTTAGCTATTTGAGCTTTCTCTAGCATGCTGGCTTGAGAACAATAAGACACAGTTACATCAGTGTTATTTTTCTGTTTTTCATTTATATACTTATCCTCCAAAGAATTTTGTACCATCAGCAGACATTCATATTCTCAAATTTTGAGGGCACTGCTCTTCAGAATAGTTCACTCGATGCAGTGAGTTGTTTAAAAGAGAATAATAATTTAAATATGGGACAGGAAATCTGACACTGTCCTTATAGTAGAGTGTCCATATATACATGTTGGACTATACGTATGTGCACCATGTATATTGTAACTATGTTATTTCCAAGCACTGATGTGAGCTCTCCTACTTTTCTAAAAGGTGAGATTGGAGGCAGATGCATTTGTGGAGAAGAATCCTCTGCTGTTATTTCATATGGGCTATAAGAAGGAAATGCCTTCCTAGGAAATTAACAGCAGCCTTTCTGGCGTCACAACAGGTTGATATAATGCACATATCCCTTGATTCAGTGACCTCTTATCACTCTGGTCTCACTTGCAAGCATTTAATTGGCCTATAAACATCCACATGACTTCAGAACAGGAATATCTAGGAGTTTTATACAATGTGCTTCCTGGGAGAAGTTGGGTGAATTCCACGTCACTGGCACTTTTGAGGACAGCTGACGTCTCTAACAGCCTTAAGAAAAGGAAGCAGTAATAAAACCATTATCTTTCTAGAAGGGTTCCATTTCCTCCATCATTCTTGGGCAATAAAGGCATTAATTTCTCAGCTAGAGAAACCAAGAGCTACCATTCAGACTGCCAGCTTTGGCTAGGCAGATACTGGGAAATACCAGGCCCACATTGAAGCCTGCTCAACTTTTAAACGGGTCCTGAAACAGTGTCTTTAACTTATGAGAATGCCATGGTAAAGTAGGATTTCACCCTTATATCTGAAGCAAGTCTACATGAAGTATGAATCGAGTTAATTTAAACATGTTTAGCCTACCTTGAAGCTCAAGTGATTGAGGGTAAGCATGTGCTTAAAATACTTTGGTTGGTTATGTCTGATAAAATCAGCATCTTTTGGATGATAGCCATTTGAATAAATTAGCGAATTAATAGAGAGGCAGCTGCCCTGCCATGAAATGTTGTCTATCACTGAAACTAGGCCTGTTTTAAATTTGCCTCTGGTTAGATATGAGTTAGATAGAAGGCAAGTGTCTCTGAACTTCTGCCCCAAATCTTGATGCAAAACAGGAGTTCTGAGAAGCCCCCTCCCTAAAAACTTATCCAAAGCATCATATTTAACTCATGTCCTCCTGTTCTTTGTTTCAGGAAACCTTGGAGTAGCATTAAAAGATTTAAAGACTTTTTGGCAGGTGCTGCTCACTAGCTGAAGTAGGAGTGTTCATCTTCATTTTGAACCAAGGACATTTTGTTAGAGATATTACACTGCCTGACTATGTCTCAGCTGTGGCAAATGTGAAGGCAAACATGTGCCATCTGGAGCTATAACCAAATACAAGACTAAAACATTAGCACAGAAAGTAAATAACAGCTCATCAGTGCTTCTCAGGTAGAAGACAGGATGACACAGGAACATATTTCTTAACTCTTCAGTTTCTTATAAATCTAAAGAAGCAATAGATCGTTTTGCATACATATGCATAAATAAACCCAAAACGGCTCTTCATGTTGTTTAAGAAAGGAAAGACACAAAAAAACCAACAAACAAGCAAAAACAAACAAACCCAGCTGGATAAGTAAACTCTTTCCGTGATTTTTTTAATAGCTCTAACCTGTCTCGCAGGAACATGGGGTCAGAGCCTTCTTCATCACTTTGTACACAGTAGCAAATGTGCTGCTTCTGGGACATTTCTTCCTTGGTGACAGGTAAGGGATTGGTTTCAGTTGTATTTGGAAAAGGACATGAATCTGAAAACATGAATAGCTTTTAAGCTGCCGAACACCCATTGTTTGCTTTCTTCATACTGAAATTTTTACATGGGTAAATTGGCAATTATTTATAAGGGCACATGTTAGGATGTAGAGGTTCTAAAACAAACCAGAAGTGATCTTGTACAAGTCTGTGCCGTTTTTTTCCAGCTCCCCCACTGAGGAGATGGTGTTTGTATAGACACCCTTATCAGCACTGAGACAGGCACCATCTGTCATTTTAAATACAGATAGATGTACTGCTTAATATTGCTCAGCAAGTGAAAAATGCTGCAAAGCACAGTTAGAAAATGTTCCTGGCTAGCAATGCCATCTCCAGAGTGGCATTAAAAAGCAACTCCTCCTTCAGCCCCCTCCCTTGCTGAGAAGAGTGGTTTAGATGATAAACTTTTTAATGTAGTGTAGAGCCCACCATCATATTGAAGTTTATCTTTATCTTATTGAAGTCTGTCTTGTATCATTGAAGATAAATGCCTAATCTAGTGATTAGCACTCCATAAGTACCACAGATTGGTGAGTGAAGGTTAGATGGCAGACTAGATATGTGGTGTATATCTTCAGACTTGCCTTTATACATTTTATTTATGATCAGATTAGCAAGGCCCAAGAAACTGAATCCCAAACTCTTTCATTTTACTT